GCGGGACGGTAGTGTCGTGTATGATCTGACACCCAAATATAGGATGGGGCCAATGGTGGGACAACACTGGTATAGATTATGCATCCATGTTATGAATCAACCAGCTCTCCATGGCAACCAAGGCAAACTCTCAGAATTTTAAATGTCCTAACATCAGGGACTGTATCAGAGGTCTGATAAGCAGAAAACAGAACATATATTTCAAACAAGACCTTATACATAAACCAGCTTAGGGCACTTCTCTGCCACCATTGCTTTTGTTCCACAAACTCTTAAACATGTATTGAAGCCAACCTGTGACTGTCTTTTTTGCTGGCCTCAGAATGCTGAGAACAGGCAAAACACAGCACGTGTCAATCAGCAGGTCCTTCAGATGAAGACAGTGCAAGAAACCGCATTCAATTAGTGTCCTACTCTGAACTGCCACTCTGGTCCCTCTCCCCCAAAAAGGTAAGAAAATAAATTACAAGAGCCCCTGTCCTTCTATAATTTTAATATATGCTGTAGAAATAAATACAAACAGCATTTTCCCCACCAACTACCTATTAGCAGTGGTCTTGACCAGAAATTGCAGCATCAGGAAATATGCGTGTTTTATTTGTTTGCTTGAATGTTGAAACTCTTAACAGGACACATACAAACACAAGTAATTCAGATCACTTTATCAAAACTGTACTGATTATTAACTGATTGATTATGAGCCATAAAGTCAGTGTCAATACTTAGTGACTGCAAAGATAGATTTTCTCCAGGACAATCTATTCCTAACCTGGTCCTTCAGATCTTACAACAATGCACCCATCACTACTGTAATTGAGTCCATCCACCTTGCTGCTGGTCATCCTCTTCTCCTTCCTTCCACCTTTCCCAGCATTACAGTCTTCTCCAAAGAGCTAGGTCTTCACATAATGTGTCCAAAGTAGGATAATTTGAGCGTGATCATTTGTGCCTCGGATATTGAGCGTGATCATTTGTGCCTTGAATATTTCCAACTTTGGCATTCCAGTCTCTAATCACAAGCACCACATCTTGCTTGCATGTTCTGTCAATTTCAAATTAAACTTGATCATTAAATTCATCAACCGCTTCTTCTACATCAGTGGTTGAAACATAAACTTGAATAATGTCATATTATAGGGTTGTCTAATTGATATTAATCAGTCACTGATTGCATGATAGCTAAGTGCTGTTCTTGCTATATCTTTCCTAACTATAAAGCCAATGCTATTCCTTGTTTTTCATGTGAGTAGAAAACAGGTTGATTTTCTGACTAAAAGTGTCCAATTCTAGTCCATCTCAATTCACTGATGCCTAAGATGTCAATATGTAGTTGATTCATTTCATCTTTCAACTGTGTTGAACTTTCCCACATTCATGCTTTGTATGTTCCATGTTCCAACTCTAATTTGCAGTTTCAGATTTTCTTTTTCTGCATGGCAAGATCAGCAACTAGACATCCCAAAGGCTTTGATCTAGCCACATCATAAACACCATTAGTACTCTGAAAGATCCTCTGCTCTTCCCCAGTAGCATGTTGAGTGCTATCTGACCTGATCCATAATCCAGCACTATATCATCAATCATTTTAACTCTGGTATCAAGGTGGTTTTCTTAGTAAAGTGGTGATCTAGGTGCCTACTTGCTTTAGCTGGGCAGCTTGGTGACCTTCATGCCTTGGGTGATCCTGCTGGGATTATATACTTTTGGCATACACTCCTGCCATTCTTTGCTCATCCTCCCAGCAACATTCCCCTGCCATGATGAGGTAGCACAGCACATTTTGGGGGAGGTCTACTGATTAACCCATATAAAAATAGTTATGGTAAGATTTTACGCTCTTTGCAAGGTAATAGTGATGCTCTTCTGTTACAGGTACAGAAGAAAGACAGTACAAACAGTGGATATTGGAGGACAGTCAGGATTATAGAAGAAGCCTGGTTGAGTCTCAAAGGTTGGTTATATATCCAATATCCTAGAATAATCTATCTAAAATGCATCCCCTAAAAGCAAATGTCCATAAAATGTGTATTGACGAGGCCATATCTGAGTTACAGCCCCATCTCCTCTGTTACACAGAATCATGATGCAACAATGTGCATGATCAGGCCAAGATTAATAACGGATATAATTAATCTGGTAATTATACAGAAAAATGCATTTCTCTTTCCAGATGAATAGGATACATTTACTTAGAAAAAGCATGAGAGAGTTTTATTCCCATCTAGGGCCCAGGGTCTAGGCTACTAGCAGCATGTTAGGAGAAAGAGAAAACACATAATTCAGTATATTATAAAGGTGCAAGTTAAATAAAAGATTACCCAAAAAATAATATGAAATTAAATGAAAATAATCTTTAGTTGGGTAAATTGTAGATTAATGTGCTTGATGATAAAACCTATATAAAACTAGAAGCCTACTCTCATTATATCCTGAATGAAGTAAAAAAACAAAGGGAATGAATAATGTACTGCAGCTGTTTCCAAAGTTCAGGCAAGATGTACAGGTAGTCCTCACTTAGTGACAATTGGGACTGGCAACTCAGTTGCTAAGCACCATGGTCACTAAGTGGAAAATCACATGACCATGATAGACTTACTTCCTGTTCAGTCGTTAAGCGAAGTGCCGTAGTTGCTAAGAGAAAAATCACGTGACTGCAACTTACAATTTTACTTCTGTCTTCCCTGTTAACTCTGCTTGTCACAAGCTGATTGCAAAGCACACAAATGGCAATCACGTGCCCACAGGACACTGTGACAGTTGTAAATGCAAGAATTGGTTGCAAAGCTTTTTTTTAAACACCGTTGTAACTTCAAACGGTCACTAAATGAGGCAGTTGGTAAGCAAGGACTACCTGTACTCAGGATATAAGTCTTTCAAGAACATGGAGGCACTTTCCATGAAGCCTGGGTATCTTAACTGGGTCTTTGCATTACTAACTGCAAGGGCACTGAAAAACAAAACTTCTTCAAATCCTTCAATCTAAATCAAAACATGCCAAATACTAAACTGGAAGCTGCATCCACTAAATCTGTAGTTATCTGAAGCTTGAATAGATATAATTTTATATGAAAAGGTCAGATTTGGAGCCAGCAAATGGGGATAGTCATGTACAGCAGATATCCATGATGTACATGAAAGTAGATTTTAACTCAGAATGCTAAGGGCAAACATTTCCAATAAGGGGCATCCACGAAGGAGGTCAAAACAAAAGTTGGTGGGTGTTGTTTGCACTGAATTCAGGAACTGTGAAGCAAGAGTTCCCATCAACAGAGAAATTAGACCACTCATAAAATCAGCATTTCAAAGCACTGGAAAAGAAAGTACTAGCTACTACAGAAGCATAACATTTTGAAAGGACACTCTGCTTTGATGAAGATTCAAGTGAAGCAGCCCCTCAAAGGATGACCCTCTCCCTTATAAAAACAAATAGACATGGCTTCAGATGGGAACCAGTGCTCTGACATTTTGCAACCCCTAAAGTGATAAATGAAATTGCTTGACTTCCCTCACATATAAAAAATAAAACTTCTTTAATTGGTGGATGGTTCTGACAGATGTCTGGATGCACAGACTCAACCATCTCTCAAAGCTATGACTTTTTTATATGTATTTATTGGATTTCTTTTTAATTAAGTGTTGTACGCTGTGCAGAGTCTTTTTGTGAGATGGGCAGCTATACAAATATGATAAATAAAAAGAAATAAATAAAAGCTCATATGTCTTTGCTCCCCACTTTGTCTACACAAGCCTGCTTGAGACCTCTTGATTATACTCTTAGATAAGAAGTGAAGTTTTACATGGCATAAAACATTAGGAATAATTATCAATTGCTCTTTATTTATTTCACTATTTACTTAAAGCTATCACTCCTTACCTGTATATAGCCTTTGAGATTCCCCTATTATTTCCATCAATAAGTACACCATCTATACACCTAAATATAAATGGATTGCCAATGGATTGAAAAAATATGGGTTCATGATTTTCATAGACAGTGCCTGTTTTAAAAAAAAAAGCAGTTATTTTAGATTCTTATGTATATATTTCTTAGCTATTTGTAATGAACATAGATATAGCTATTTTTCAACATTCAGCAGAGCAAAATCTTACCTTTTGTTTCAGCAGCATAATTTTCATAAAACTTTGACATGGATTAAATAGTGTTTTACTTTATTAAAACTGCTGAATCACACCTATCTCCAAGGAATTTAATATACAATTTGTGAGATAGATTAGGCTGAACAGTAACGACAGTTCAAGAACTGGCTGAATAAGAAGTTGAACACAGGTTCTTGAGGTTGAAATCTGAGTATCCACCATGTCACACTGGTTTTATTTTGCACTAATACTAATATTAGGACAAGACATACCAGAGGCTGATAAGTGCCACCTTCCCCCCTCCCCCCCCCCAAAGGACTACTGAGCTGGTAATGGCTGCATAATAACAGGACATTTTAAAAAGTACACTATTTTTTTAAAAAATACATACCATAGTAAATTTGGCTCTGTCAACATAGTAGTTCTAGAAAATGGAATAAAACTGTTTTGAAAAACAGTTGGGAAACACTTAAGCAAGGAATGCTGGTTTTCCTTTGGTTTGCAGGGCATCTGTTAACAGAGGGCTACAAAACATAATAATCCTCACTTACTTCAAGCTGGTAGTGCTCAAAAGACTAAGTAAAGGCATCAGACCACTCACCCCAATAGTGCTATTGTTTAGGGAGTTTTGAACATACTAGATCCTAGTTCAATCCCTGACAGCTCCAAGGGTCTTAAAAGATCCTGGAGAATTGTTGCCTGTCAGTGTTGATGATACTAAGGCAGATGGATCCAGTAGCATCAGTGGGGCAGGATTTGGGAGCTGGAATCCAGGACTCAATTCAGAAAGAGTTGAGTTCCTGGCTTGCAAACAGCTGGGTTGCTTTACCACATTTTGCAAGGTGTGAAACCATCAATCTTCCTTCCTTCCTTCCTTCCTTCGTGCCCTCCCCATATGAACGTGAAGTCCAGGGTTAAATCTAAAACTATGATCTGCTGCACCACCTTATGAACCAAATGTAAGGTTATTTATAGATTAATTCATATGAAAATATATTTCCGTACCAGGATACATTGATACGACTGTTCCTTCTGGAACAAACCCTTTTGCTACAAAGACTCCTATTCCAGCCGAATCCAGTGAACTGGGTTGTCGAGTAATGCTGAATCCTAATGTATTGAACATAACTTCTTCTGGATTAAGGGCTCTTTGACTTTCTTGATTGTTGTATATTGCTTTGGATATTGTTTTAGACTGCACTGAGTGTATTTCTGGATATTTTGATTTAACTTCTGGAATTACGTTCAAAAGGAACATTTGTCTGTTCAAATCATTTACAAATAAAGATCTAAATGTTTTCAGTAACATTTGAAGGACTTCTTCATCAGAAACAATTTTGTCTTTAGATTCTTCTGACACAAACCGCAGAGTCCTGAAGTAAAATAGGAGGAGAAGGTACTGTAAGTACAAGGGCTGTCACAGTTTGAAATTCCATAAATTTGTAGGGGGAGAGAGCATATATATATTTTCTTTTTATAAGAAAGTTTTGTTAAATTGTTGATAATGATTATAATTTCAAAAACATGGCTATTGTGATATAAAGCAGATAAGACAGGTAGATAGACAGGATGTCAATTCCCATACATCATCTAAGGCCAGGGACTTTTGATGCTCCTGGGGTGTCTCAATGCCTGACAAGGTCTTTTGTCCCCCCCCCCCCCCC